CCTGCAAATCATGTTAATTGTGGGACAATATAGTATTTAGGCAAATTTTACTGTGCACTACAATAAATTTTACTGTATTTTACTACTGTCAAATTTATTGTAGTGCACAGTAAAATTTTCTTAAATACTGTATTGTCCCACATCTAACATGATTTGCAGGGTAAATTTAAAAAAAAATTCTCTCCGTGTAGAATATGTTCCGTTCCATTGTTCTATTTACAATAAGAAATTATATTAAGCGTCTTCGATCTCTAGAAAATCAAAGAAAATTTTACACAGAAGATCTCGATGTAACACAAAATAAATTTCAATAATATTTAATAATATTGAAGGAAATAATACAATATTGAGACATTATACTTACTCTATGCCTTTATCAAATTTATACAGAATCTCCATTTCGGTCGATTTCGACGGTCTACATGGTTTCTCCATTAACATGTCAATTAGCATAATAATGTTTCTGCGATTCATCAGGAAAATGAATAATTTACAGCAAGAAATGAACATGGCAATTAGTACAAAAAAATTATCCGAAAAATCATCGGCGTTATCCACATTTAGAATTACATCCATCAATTGCGATAAAAAAAAGGTATTTAGTAATAAAATTATTATACTTGAATATATGTAGTACATTATACGTTTATGTAACGACGACCAAGAATCCGGTCGCCAACATCCAAATATCATTAAAATTTTAAAAGGAACCTTAAGAATGCGCATTTTTTTTTAAGAGCTTATCTTCTTTGATGTTATCTATAAAGCACACAGCACATGTAACTGAGTATTGCATTAAACTTTGTGTGTAATATTATTATTAATAATACTAAATGTAACTCTAAAATAATTTGCTACTTTGTGAATTAAAAATTATTTATATTCTTATTATAAATGCGCAATAAATATTTCCTTATTTTCATTATTTACAAATATTAAATTTATATCTATTTATATGTTAGAAAAGATATCTATTTATATTTTAGAAAAACTCTCTGATTAGTCCAACAATTATAAATAAATTTGCCGTAAATGACGGATTAAATTATTATTGTAAAGAAGAAGTACTTTAAACGACCATAACTGGTGAGTATAACACTTGACAAAATCTTCAAGATAACTGACAGATGTCGACAGTCTATAGTCTTGCGGATCGAATTTCTTAGACGTGGATATTCATCCGCATGCATGTATATACGTTTCCACCCTTCGTACTTGGTAACTTCATTATTTATTTTACAACGTACCCCTCGCAATGTATCCCTCGAAATAATGAAAAATTTATTAACTCAACATGTAACACATATGTATACAGTAACAAAATTCACATACACTACGAATAGCATAATTATATCTTTAAATGCAACAATGTTTTAAGAAGCAGACTAGAGGAAATACGAGACAGAATAGGATTAAATATTGAACAGTTAATCATAATCTGCAGTCTTTATGTAATATTAGTGAAACCACTTTCTATGCTACCATTCTGTTTATTATTCGAAAGCTGCCGTATATGATTCATTCTTTGTATTAATTTCGGACATTGTATTTTCTGACACTATAAAATGTTTTAATTATATTACACTTGTGCATGTGAATCATAAAGGCAAGATATTAAAAAAATACAAAATAGATGTTAATAAACGTAAAATAATAAAAAAGGATACGTAATAGAATAAAATATGCTGCAGTTAGATAATCTATATTTATTTTTTATAACAATGTGTAATGTAAACATTAATTACAAAGAATAATTATCAATTTATATCAGATTCTTTTCTCTTGCCTTTTTGCCTTTTCTTAAATTTAATCTCGTGACATGAATAGCACATTAATTTTATTGATTTACTGCACAATCATTTTTACATTTTTTGAAGTAAATTGTAAGTAGAATATGACAGCCTCAGTATCTAGAATTAGTATAAAGATATTTTGATTAAAATACATTTCATAATTAATAAATTTGCAACTAATTTTGCCAACAATAATATTAGATACAATAATATTAGATTTTAACATCAATGTAATTCTGAATTTATTAAATTATTTAAAGTTTGTTTAATAAACAGTGTACATAGATACTTTAATTTATCAAATATAATTCAAAATTTTTAAATTTTAATAAGCATTTTAATAATATAATACAAATTTAAATATATCTAATAATAAAATTTGTTAACAAAATTAACTTAAATTAATAATATCTATACTAACACTCATAAAAGAAGTGAGATTCATAGGAATAACATGAGCACAATTAATTTGAATAGGTATAAGTGCTCGCCTTATTATCATAATTAGAGACTTCTTTTTATTTATATCCAATGCCAGCCATTCCATTTCGAAAATATCATCAACAATCTGACAACTCTATTGAAATATGCAAAATAAATCTATGGACAGCATTTGTATAAAAAACGCAAGATACTTATGTCACTGATATATCTTAGTACGCCTTTACAATATATATAATAAAGTGTATTTTTATGCATTTTGCAAAAAAATAAATTAATTAGATTTAGTGTATTATTTAAAATTACAACTATCTGTTATTAATGTCAAAATTGTTGAACTCCTTGATCAAATCAAAGCTTGGATATTTCGCATTTAACTTTCATATTACATTACACTTATAGCCACTTAAATTACTATACCTTTATCTGTACTTCATTTCCGTACCAACAGTACAAGAAGATTTGTGTTAACATGCAAGCTATACACATTATCATATCAATAAATTTTGCTTGTGCTGTTGTTTTACTTATGTGATAAAGACTGAAGCATATCATCATCGTACTTGTTATAAATTGAATAGCAATAGTCAGATTAAACTTTGCATTTACAATAAAAGCAAGTCTAAAATTTAAAAAATTTGTTTGCATAAATGCACATTTTAATAAAATAAATTTGTTAAAAACAAAATATTATATTATATTATATTATATTATAATATATGTTAATTATTTAAATAACATTATACAAACATTTGTAAAATGTGAAATTACGAGATTTAACCTGAAGATATGGTAGTGATGATACACGCAATCGCGAAAAATATCTGAATAAAATATAAGTTTCCTCAGGCGATAAGTTAAAATCTCAATTTGACAGCAAATATGGACCAATAATCCACAAATGAGAGTATCGCAACCGATATTTACGAACATTGCGGCAGTCAAACTTAACAACTGATGACCGTACGTTAAATAGAAAAGTACTGTCGATGAGTAATCAAATGGGAACCACGCTTTGTACGGTAACTCTTTATTTCTGAAGTTGATCGATATAGAAGATAATATGATAATTATCGTTGTTATTATTCCCAAATATATAAAGCGCCAAGTAGTAATTCTAAAATAATTTTAAAGCACTTCTCAAATATGTATATAATAATACTAGTTTATTAAAAAAATGTTTTTTTTTAATTACTTTGAACCAGACTACGTATTTCTTATAGATTTTTGAAAGTTGAAAACGATATCGTAAGCTAAATTGCTCCAGCACGTTCAAGTTTCCAAGATAATTGAGGTTTAAGGTTCAAAAAATGACTTCTGCTCGAAACTTCAACATTAATCTTCTTTTCAAAAAAATTCGTCAAAAAGCCATTTTTTTACATTAAATTTTAATTATCTTGGAAACCTGACGTTCTAAAATTTTTTTCAAAGTAACTCTATTTGCTTTAAATTGATGTAATCTTCCAAGATTTTATATAAATTTTTTTTATTTACATCTTTATTTCCATTAATTCAAAGAAACACTTTACTTATTTTTAACCCTAGACTACCACACCATATTTGACACCCAAATCTACCACACAGGGTAAAATTTACCCGGCCTATCTATTTTGTTGCGTAACTTCGGTTCAAATCGATTTAAAACTTTTTTTTTTATCTATACGCCAGACAGTAAGAAAGGTGACTGAAGGTGACACTAGGTGGATAGTAACACTCAAAGGTCTTAAGGACATAAACAATTTGCAAAAATGTAAATCAACTTTTATATTTTTTCCGAAAAAGGCTGATTTTTCTTTTACATCGCAGTTCTTTTCATTAGACCAATTGTCGAACTTCACGCGTGACTGGAATGACAGTACCAAGTGAAATGACGTGGCTTATGATGAAAGGTTGTAGAGGACACATGTAAGTTTTTCCCCCCACATCGCGACCCCACTTCTTCAACCCTATCGGAATGACACGCACTTCAAAAATGGTCCGGGTAAATTTTACCCAGGTGTGGTAGTCTAGAGTTAATTCTTTCATATTTGCTCCATTTGTCTATTTATGGTAAAAAAGTATAATAAGTAAATTAAATATATTTTAATCGTATTAAAACTATTTAAAAAAAAATTTTATATTATTCATAACAAAATAATTTTAACAATATTAGTAAAATAAATCAATATTATGATATTGTTTGCTAATACTTACTGCATGCTATTATCAAATTTATACAGAATCTCCATTTCAGTCGATCTCACCGGTCTATATGGTTTCTCTCTGAATATATTAATTAACATAATAATGTTTTTGCGATTCATTAGCAAAATAAACAATTTACAACAAGAAATGAAAGTAGCAACTACTGCAAAGAAATTATCAAAAAAATCCTCCTGAGTGTCCATAGTCAGGATTACGTTCATTAGTTGCGATAGCAAAAAAGTATTTATTAATAGAACTATTATACTTGTATATACGTGATATGCTATACGTTTATATAACGACGACCAAGAATCTGGTCGCCAGCACCCAAATATCGTTAAAAGATTAAAAGTAGGCTTAAGGATGAGCATTTTAAACGATTGTTTCCTTTGAACTCATCTGTAAAGCAACATATGTAATTAATTATTGGAAAAACTTTGTGTGACTAAAACTTATATATTAATTATATTAAATATATGTGATTAACTTATATATGTTAATTATATTAAATATATCCAAAATATAATTTCCAAATTTTGTCAATCAAAAATTATTGCTTATACTTTTATTAATATATACGTTTGATAGATATTTTATCTTTTATTACTTACAAATGTTATTTGTATTTTATATTTACAGCTAAATGAATTCTCTAATTAATCTGATAATTATAAGTAAACATTGTATACTTGCAAGAGAGATGAATCAATATTATTATTATTATAAAGAAAAAATACTTCGAGCTATCAAAACTATAGTAAGTACGTCACGCAACAAAATCTTTGGAATAACTGAGAAATATCTCCCGACAGTCTATAGCATTCATCGAATTTCTTTGATGTAGATAACTTCCGTGAATAACTTCCGTCGTAGTTGGTAATTCCATTATTCATTTTCCAACGGGATCTCCCGCAATATATCCCTTGCGAAATAAGTCAAATTTCATGTGTGACGCGATATGCAACATATACAACAAAGTAGGGGGAAAAAGAAATACGATAGAATAATAAAATATTGAACAGATAGTTACAATCTACCTTTATACAATATTGATACAGACACAGTATACTTCTGTTTAAGCTCTAGATTCTAGAATCTAGATATTTAAATTTTCTATGAAATTTAGATCTCTCTATAGCTATTGACGTTACTGATATTTCTAGAATACTTATAGCGATACTGATATTATAATGGTTCAATTTTCTGTCCTTTTTCTAATTTTCTTTCATTCACAAAATTATAAAATCGCATTATTCATCTAACAAATATTTTTACAGGTAAGAAAAAATTGCTTTTTATTTGAATGGTCACATTGTCTAACAAAAATTACATTACACAAAAAATCAACGCTAATTATATATAATGTTTCATTGCTTCCGTTTGTATTACTGTTTAAAATTATTTAAATGCAAATAACAATGTGAAAATAAATTATTGTAATTACTATTTATATCACGTGTCACTATTTATATCACGTGTCTATTATACTTGCTGCAAAATATTATAAGCTGAATATGATGTTTTAAGCAACTGTAAAAAATAAATATTGCATATAATAAATATTAGAAAATTCAGTTAGAAAATATTTAAGAAAAAACGTAATAAACTAAAAAAGATTTGTTTTACTTCATTTGGATATACATGTTATTATTAAATTCTGATTGTATTCTTTTAGACTCAATTAATCCTGTGATAATAGCAAGCATTTTATACTAACACCCACGAAAGAATCAAGATTCATAGAAATAATATAGGCGCTGGTAAATTCAATAGGCATTGTACTACGTCTCATAATCAATAATAAAGCTTTTTTTACATTTTGGTCCAATATATACCATTCCATTTCGAAAATATTACTAACGAGTTGTCGGCTCTATGTTAATTATAGAATAATATTACAATAAATTAATTACATCAATTATTATGTAAATAAAACAATTGTTTAATTATTAATTACTTATAATCATTTAATCATAATTTGATTTATAATTTATTTACAAGTCATTATTTAAAAAATGACATACCTTCAGTTTTACCTCATTTCCGTACCAGCAATAAAAAAAGATTTGCGTCAGCATGCTGCACATATATAACGCGAGCTGAATATTCTTTGCATTCGTTGCACTCGATCTAGTTAATTGATATAGGTTGAAGCACACCACCAATGTGCTCACCATAAACTGAATAGCAATAGTAAATCTAAACTTTTCATTTACCATAATAGCAAATCTGCAATTAAATGCAGTTAACTATTTTAATGTTGTAAGTTTAAAATAATATCTACATTGATATCTTCATTAACATATGAAGCAATGCTAATATTTCTGCCGCGTTAACTATACATATATTATATATAAATACAAACTCAAAAATACGATTGTGTTGCAGAATACACTCAGGAAGAATGTCAGGCTTGTGTGCTATTCTTTTCAAACGAGATTCCAGTATTTTGATCTGGCAGCAAATGTGCACTAATAGTCCGCAAATCAGGCCGTCGCAAGCGACGTGAATGATAGATCCCATTATCAAACTTATCAACTGATGAGCGTATGTGATGTGAAATAAGATTGGCGTCGAATAATTATACGGTAACCAGGCTCTGAATGTCAATGTCCGTCTCCTGAAGTCCGTGAGTAACGACGTTATCGTAATGCATACGCCAGTCGTCTCAACCAGAATTGCGTAATGTATCGTGTTCGCTCTGCAATATAACTGTAAGATATTGGTGCATTTCATTCGCAATTCAGTCTTTCAGTTAATATCAATTTACGACTGTTTCTTAATATATAACTTTAGTAATAATTATAATATTGTATTTTATACTTTAACGCGCGTGCATGTCATGTAGAGACATAAAAAATGTCAACCAGATGTTTTTAAATTTCAAATTTTTATCTCAAAATTAAATTATATGTGGCATAAATTATATCTAATAATTAAGAAATTAATAATTTCAATATAATAATCATTATAACATTTTTATTTTCAGGATACTTACTGCACGCCCTTATCATATTTGTGATAAATTTCCATTTCTTCCAAATCCAGTGGTCTACATGTTCCCTCCATTAGAATGCTTCTTAATTTTGCAATATTCTTGCGATTTACCAACATACTCAGCATTTTACAGCAAGACACGAACATTGCAAGTAACATGTAGAAATTATCGGTGAAGTCGGCTGCATTATCGACAGTAAGAATAATATCCAGTAATTGTGATAAGGTAAACGTATTTATTAACACAAACACGAAAAACGTGTGCACATGGTAGATCAAACGTTTATATGACGATGTCCAAGAATCCGGTTGCCAGCAACCACAAATAATTAGAAACTTAAAAGTGAAATCTAATACCCGCATTTTAATATTATCTTTTACGATACTTTATTCACATACACGATAAAAATTAAATAAAAACAAAAATTTATATATAAATTTATATTTTTTTTCCTAATTTTTCTTTAGTAATATAAAATTTTTAATATAATGACTAAAAAGCTTGAGCAATTAATTTTCTTAAATATCTTTATAAAAATAAAAACATACGTTTGATAAAAAAAATTAAAATTCTAATAAAATTGCTTGTATAACGAGTAATAATCTAATGTGCGACAAACTCTTTCGGAGAACAATTATAGAATGTCTATAGATTTGCGAATTTCTAGCGAAAGCCTCATCTAACTCAACCCTTCTTATACGATAGATTTTAATATTTAATTTGTAACCACGTCCCTCGCATGCAACGTGGACGTCAAGCACAGACTTTGTCTGGTGGTAGAGTATATTAATACGTTCAAAATAAATTATACGTTAGAAAATGCTGTGGAAAAAAAGAAAATGACAACCTTCAAATGTCATATAAGGGAACTGTGTATCTGTATAAAATACCCCGTATAAAATATAGACATTGGTAACTCCCATGCTTCTACTCGGAAATACTTGATTTCTAGAAAATATTATCTCTACTTGGAAATAATAAAAATATTAATTTATCATAACGAATCCATAGATGAAAGATTTCCTCTCTATCTGATTCTCTGTTCACTATTGTATAATTTCGAATTCACACATATGCAACTTCCGATAATATAACAACCGTGCTACTGGCGTATAAAGTAAGTAAAACCTACATATTAAAGTAAATTAACGTAAGTGATACAAATAATAGCAAAAATTGTATAACAAATATTTTAGTTATTTTTTTCATTTATACAATAATATCAATAGTACAAGAATTAATTATTATATTAGCATTACATAAATATAATTTTACATATACAATATAATAATTATATAAAATTCACATATTTGTGACATAAATTCACATTGCGTAATGTCACCGATATTTTTGCTCTACTACATGTGTCCAATATTATGATCCCTGTGCTTGCTGAAGTAAATTATAAGCCGAATACGATGTTTTGAGCAACTATAACAGAAATTATTACTAACGTTATTTAAAATAAGTTGATATGTATAAATATATTTAACTAAATATTTAATTATATCTTTGATTATACGTTTATATATAACATGTGATTAATTAAAATAAATTTCATTTGATTAAATATACAAAATATTTACATCATTATTAATACAAGCTAATTTTATTTTAATTAAAACATGTTTTTCATTAAAAGGATAAAGCATAATTGAAGTATTTACAAACTTTACTTAATTATACTTATAACAAATTTCGATACTGACACCCACGAATGAATCCAGGTTCATGGAAATAACAGCGGCACTAGTAAATTCGATTGGTACTGCAGCACGCCTCGCAATCATTAATAAAGCTTTCTGAGAGTTTTCATCGAACTTAAACCATTCCATTTCAAATATATTATTTATCAACTGCCGACTCTGTATTTAACAATCAAGGGCTCACTATTTATTTTACATATACATATACTAAATTTTATCTATATACACGGTGTTTCCTAACATGTGATACCCACTTTACTGGTAGACAGAGGACGCAAAAACAATAATAAAAATTCATTGTCGCATATTTTCAAAAATACCGGGTGTTCGTTGAATTTATTGAAGGCAATTTCTCGAATAAACGATGTTCTAACAAATGAATTGTACGGGATCTATTAGCTAGTCTGCGCGTTTCCCCAGACTTAAATTGAATTTTTATTTGTAGAGACACACTTGAAAACAATTGTTTATTCCCATCCCAATGACAACATTGAAATACTTCATCAGCATATACAACAAATTAGCTACCAATAAATCTGACGAACATCCGATATTTCTGAAAATGTGCAACAATCTACACGGCGACGACTGTATACTTGCATTCAGGGAAAATGATTGTTTTGAGCACTTCTTATAAAGTTAAGCAGTTCCATTATTAGAATACAAATATGATTATAGCTTGTCAGAAACAAAGCCAAATAGAATACATATTTATGTGAACTTTGTTCTCCTTTTTTCTCCTTGTCTTTGTATCTCCTGTCCACCAGTGAAGTGGATCCCATATATAATATTAGGAAACATCCTGTACATAAATCTAAATAAATCTATATATAAATCTACATACAAATCTATATATAAATATTCCAATAAAAAGAGATATTTATCTTAAAAGTCCACGTACTCTCAATTTAACTTCGTTCCCGTACCAGCAATAGAAAAAGATTTGTGACAGCATGGAACACGTATACAATATCAATTGCATATACTTTGTTCTTAATGCTGTTGATTTGGTAAATTGATACAAATTAAAACACATCACCAATGTACTCACAACAAATTGGATAAATATAGTTATCCTAAATTTTTCATTTACTACACGAGCAAACCTACAAATAATAAAAGTAATAGAAAATATTGCAACTTATAATCTGAAAAAGATATTAAAAAATTAAAAAAATAAAATAAACGTATATAAACGCCGATAAAAAATATTTACAATAAAACTTGACGTAAAAAATATATATCAATTGAGAAAGTATACGAATATGTACAATTTGATAAGAAAATACATCTTGAAGAAAGAATCTCATGTTTTAAGAAAAAAAAAACAATAAAAATTCTTATCTCGAAATACTGAAAAGTATATATATATATATATATATATATATATATATATCTGCACTATATATACATCTTAATAATAAAAAATATATTAATTTCTAACGTAATTAGAAACAAACTTGAATATATGGTTGTGCTGAAAAACGCACTCGCGAAGAACATTGGGATTATATGCGCTTTTTCTCAAACGGTGTTCCAGTATCTCTATCTGGCAGCAAATGTGCACCAGAAATCCGCATATGAGACTATCGCAAGCCACATGATGTACAGATCCAATCGTAAAGCTTATCAATTGATGAGCGTATACGAAAAAGAACAGTGACGGCGAGGAATAGTCGAATGGTAGCCACGCTCGAAACGTCAAATTTCCTTTCCTGAATTCCGTCAGTAATGACGTTACGGCAACGGATAAACATGTTGTCTCGACTAGGATAGTATAGTGAAGCGTATTTGACCTGTAAAACGACTGTAGACGTTTTCGCGTTTCACTTTTCATTCAATATTTTCTTCAATCGCTAAAGTGATGTGTCTGATTTATTTGTTCACGTAAATAAGAAGTAAACTTAATATAATTGCGCGCAACCAATCATTTCAATTGTGTTTTAACTGTTTTAATAGATTAGTAATAGTTGATGCTAGCTCGCGATACTTACTGTATGAGTTTCTCGAATTTCTGTTGAATCTTCATTTCGTCAGGTTCAACCGGTCGGAACGGTTTACTCGTAAGAGTCTCGAGTAACATCTCAATGTTGTTGCGATTCATCAACAGAGTGAACATCTTACAGCAAGAAACGATCATAGCGAGTAGCACGTAGAAATTATCGGTGAAATCGTTGGAATTGTCCACGATCATAATAAGATCCACCAATTGCGATAGCATAAACGTGTGTATTAGTAACATTACGAAAATAGAATACACGTGATAAACTAACCGTTTATACGGGGTTGGCCACGAAATCAGTCGCCCGCAACCGCAAATCGTCATTATTTTAAACGTAAATGCCAGTATAAACATCTTTAATATATCTTCTTCGATGATATCTTATATTAATGTCTTTCCTTCACGAGAAAAATTGTAATAAATTATTTACTCTGTTATTAATTTAAACTAGATCGCGTGAGTAAATAACACAAATAAATTTGGGAGCGCTTTCTACGGTCACGGTTAGATCTTGGTGCCTAATAAATTCTGTATGAATTTTTAAATCCATTATTCAGCCATTTAAACTGCGCGTCAAATCAACATCGAACTTGCAACGCAATCATTAGCTGAAGTTATAACAGTTACAGTGAAATCACGATTAATCTTCATTTCTTATAGTAATTCGATGCGACTAAGCATCTTAATATACCGCGAAGAATTTATTGCGAAAAATATTACCTCAATCAGGTGTTGAACCTGGGATCTCTCTAATTTTCGAGCCAAGCGTTTTAATGATTAAACGGCTGAATAATGGATTTAAAAATTCATATAGAATTTATTTAGCCACCAAGATCAGCCGTGACCGTAGAAGGCGCTCTCAAGTTTATTTGTGTTATTCACTTACGCGATCTAGTTCAAATTAACGTTGTTTATTATACGTGCCTCTAGCATACGTTCTCACTTAATATATCAGTTATTGCAGTAAATATTATCACGTGCCTCGGTGGTCGAGTTGGTTAAGACGCTCGGCCCGTTAAGCCGTGAGATCCTAGGTTCAAATCCTGGCCGAGGCAATATTTTTCGCAATTAAGTTCTTCGCAGTATTTAACTTCAGATAATCATTGCGTTGCAAGTCCGACTGATTCAGCGCGCAGTTTAAATGGCTAAACAATGGATTTAATAATTCATACAGAATGTCTTAATTAATCACCAATCTTATTAGTCACCAGCCATGACTGTAGAAGGCGCTCTCAAAAATTTATTTATTTACTCTGTATTTTTGTACACTTGTACACATTTCTCAATATCTGTCTTTTTAAAATTGTTTTAAAGGATTCTTCTTTATTTTAATTAATCAAAAATTTCAAGTGTTCCATAAAATATAAAATCACATCAGTCAATGTTCACAAATCTATATGTATAATATGCGTGAATTGATATCTAACTAAATTATGTCTAATACTCTCTACTAAATTATTTCTAATAATCTTGAACGACAATTTTCTTGAATTATATGATATTGATTAATATGGTGAAAAAGTTTATGTTATGAGAAAAATTAACTCGCAATATAATTTGCGTACGCAATAAAATCTTATGACAAACTGACGATCATGAATGTCTGTCGTCTATAGCTTTACGATCTACCTGCAATAATACCAGCTCAACTAACCATTCCCTTCGACAATTTTTATTATTCAGATCGCAATCGCGACCTTCGCATAATATTATTTTCATACACTCAGCTAAATATAGAGTTGATGATATTACGATATTATGGCATGATATTATTTCATGAAAAATTATGTTTTGCAGTATTATATGTTAGAAAACAGAGCCGAGGAATAAAAAATAACCTTCAAATGTCGAGTCCACCTCTGCGTACTTACTCTTCATAAAATATTAACGTCGATAAAACTCGTACCTTCCCTCAAAAGATATTTAATTCATAAAGGCGTAAATTTGCCATGTCATAATATAAATGACAAATTTTTCTTCCTTGTATTGATTCTGCTACTTTCTGTTTTTTGATATAGTATATGTATAGTCTATCATGCGTGTACATGCGTACATAGATACACGTGGTAAAGTAATACTCAAATTCATAGGAATATATATTTCAATTAGTGCACAAATAAAAATAATACCGTAACATATAATAATACTCAACTGTAGTAAAGGTTCTTAGATTCTATAATCAATGTAATTTTTATAAACTTCTCTTTAAATATCTCTCTATTCAAATGTCATAATAATTACAAAAGTCATGTCACCATCGCCAGACAAAATCATTCACCATAACTGTTTAATATTTCTGTACGCGTACATACTAATAACATAAAACTATAATATTGAAATCGTCTGACAAATCATTTACAGATTTACATTGAGAGATGACGGAATAAAGTGTAATTTGTCTTCTATATTACTTTTGCCGCTCTTACATTTGCTTCAGTATGTTGTAAGCCGAATACGATGTCTTAAGTAACTGTAATTAAGATTATTAATATTATTTAAAATGAATTAAAAATGCAGCCAAGACTATTAGTTATATATTAAATTATATATTAAATCTTTAAGACTATTAGTTATATATTAAATTATATATTAAATCTTTTAAAAGTACATAGAATATTTTTTTAATTCTTTATCTAGAAATTTGTGCTCTATGTGCATGACTGTTTTCACATTAAATACATTCAACACCCAAAAAAATATTCTACTAGTAAGTTAAGAATTCTTCTTAATATTTTCTCTATAAAAAATCTTACACAAAGCACATTTCTCTATAAACACATATTCATCTATAAAAAAATGGACGCATGTACTATGATCAAGACTTATACGATATTCCTCTACATTTTAGAAATCAAGAGAGTATCATTAAAGGACAGAATATTTTTTTTTAGTGAATATATTGAAATTACTGTTGATATGAATAACATTTAATTCTTTAATTAATAATTAAATGTTTCTGTAAAAAATTCATTGAAGTAGATTCGATAAT